GCACTAATTATAAAGTCTATTTCGTTCATATTTTCGCCATTAGGGCTCCTCCATGTCCACTTGCAGTTTCCTCGTTTTCGGTAGAAGGTATTCAAAATCCGTAAATTATTGCGTTCTGCGAATTCTACTAGTAGCTCTCCTCTGGTGTTTCTAGTACCGATGCCATAATCTCCTACTGCCTGGTCTCCAGCCTGCGTCTTCCTTACCTTTCATTAACGTCTCCCATCAGTATTGTATACTGTGTTTTTACCTTACTCATTGCCGATTCCACATCTTCATAGAAGCTTTCAACTGAAGCGTCATCATGGCTGGATGTAGGCGCGTAAGCCTGTACCACCTTCATCTTGTATCTCTTATTCAGTTTAATTACGATACCTACCGCCCTTTCATTAATGCTATAGTATTCCTCTATGTTGCCAGCTATGTTTCTGCGAATTAGGAACCCCACTCCCAGTTCTCTTCTGTCAGCCAAGCCCCGATAGCAAAGGACGTGCCCATTCTGTAGCACCGTATGGGCCTCATTTGTCCTCCTAACCTCACTGAGCCCTATTATATCCCATTTAACACCCTCTAGCTCCTCAAATAGTACAGCTAGACTTCCCTCACTAGATAAGGTTCTAGCGTTAAACGTTGCCAAGTTCAGGTTCTAATGGCGGCCTGTCCGAATCCAGAGATCCTTAGCACCCTCTGCTGCGTTGCAGATCTGACCGCTGCCGTGGTCAGTTGCTTCGCAGCTGCTGGGGACTGAGGGCCGTGAGTTGTTTGACGTATGCATGTGGGAGGTAGTGGCCAGATACTGCACCAGGGTGGTCAGTCAATTCTTCTCTGGTGAGGGAGTGCGTTCCCGGGGGTGGTTACCGGTGAGGCCGCACCCCAGGCCTCGTAATAAAGTTCCATCACCACGCGGATTTTTTTTTTTATCCGCTTGGGAACTTCGCGGCACCGGGATTTGAACCACGGACCTTTTGCATGCGAGGCGGATGCTCTAACCACTATGCCATTGCTGCTTCACTCAACGTTCCGTAATCCGTCTGCATGGCGAACACATCATAAGCCGATCTGCTTCTCGTGTCACCGAATCAGGCACATTTCTCGCCATTGCAGAAGTCGCTGGGGTCCTCCTGCACAAGCTTTCTCTCGTCACTTTCATGCACGTTCTGCCTATCGCCATGAGACCAGCCGCAACCATTTTGCCCAAGAACATGCTACTGAACACCGCTACTTCCGCTCTTCATCCCCCAACGTCGCCAGTCTAGTTGTCCCCAGCCCCGCCGACCATCTTCCCCCGCCTTCCCACGAGGTTGTTTGACGGAAAACTAAGTGTTGCAGTCCCCGGAGGTGGCGCTACATCGCTCAGACTGACAGAAAATCCTCTCGACAATACGGACAAAACAGGACCTTATAGACGTACAAGTAGACGGCGTACATGTCACTGCTCTTGTCGACACTGGCGCACAACTTTCCGTGATGACGAGTGATTTTCACTGCAAGCTCAAGAAGGTTCTCACACCTGCGATGACTCAGTTCGTCCGTGTTGTGGATGGCGGAATAGCATCTATCATTGGAATGTGCTCCGCTCGTGTGAGCATTGCATATCGACACACAGTTGTTCTCTTCACGATCCTTGATAAATGCCCCCACGACGTAATCTTAGGCCTCGACTTCCTGTCCGCGCATTCTGCCCTCATAGACTGTTCGACCAGTATGCTCCGTCTACACTTGCCCGCAACAGAACCTCTTACACAACGGCCGAGTCGCCTCTGCACAGCGGGACACGCGCGCCTCCCTCCACAGACACTGACCTACATAGAGCTCGTCTCAATACCACCAGTTACCGACGGTGACTATGTTCTGACCCCTATTGCCAATGTCCTCATAAACCGTGGCATTACATTATCGCACTCCATTCTGTCTGTCGCAGGAAATCCCATGTGTCTCCCAGTTGTCAACTTCAGCTTGACACTTCAAGTGCTGCCACAAGGGATCTCTTTGGCGTTGCTCTGCACCTTAGAAGACAATGCGGTAGATGTTTTCACGATGGCCGCTCCTTCTGACCCCCACACTCAACATCAATCTGACACTTGCTCCGACGGCGCTATTACATCGATAATCTCTTCCAACTTAACGCCGCAGCAGACTGACAAGCTCCACCGGGTTCTGCTGTCCTACGTCGATGTTTTTGACCTCAATGGCCGTCCATTGGGGAAAGCTACTGGTCCGACTCACCGCATAAACACTGGTATTGAGCACCCTATTCATAGGCGTCCATATCCGGTGTCAGCGGCCGAGCGTCACATTATCCAAAGTGAGGTTGACAAAATGCTCGCCAAGGACATCATCGAGCCATCCTGCAGTCCTTGGGCTTCTCCTTTAGTGCTAGTCTGCAAGAAAGACGGTGCATGGCGTTCCTGCGTTGATTATCGATACCTCAACAAAATTACAAAGAAAGATGTGTACCCTCTGCCATGAATAGATGATGCGCTTGATTGCGTCTATGGGTCCCACTATTTTTTTTCATAGACCTTCGTTCCAGCTACTGGCAGATAGAGGTAGATGAAATGGACCGTGTGAAGACGGTATTCATCACCCCCGATGGCCTATATTAGTTCGAGGTGATGCCCTTCGACCTTTGTAACGCTCCAGCCACCTTCGAACGAATGATGGACTCCCTGCTCAGAGGATTCAAATGGTCCACCTGTTTGTGCTACTTGGACGACGTCATTGTCTTTTCACCAACATTTGAAACTCATATAGAGCGCCTATCAGCCATTTTAGGCATCTTCTGTCGCACTGGCCTGCAGCTCAACTCGTCGAAACGTCACTTTGGACTCCATCAAATCACAGTACTTGTCTATTTAGTAGACGCCAACGGTGTACAACCAGACCCGGCAAAAATCAGTGCCGTCAAAAACTTTCCTGTACCACAATCTGCAAAGGATGTAACCAGCTTTATAGGACTATGTTCCTACTTCGGACGCTTCGTGAAAAATTTTGCGCACATAGCGAGGCCGCTCACGTAGCTCCTCAAGAAAGACGTCCTGTTTTCATGGGGCTCCGAAGTCTTCTGCGTTCTCGACCCTCATCACGTGCGATGTCAGTGCACGTGACAGCAGAGTTATACGAGTTGCGAAACTTCCCATAGGCTCTGTGTATCGAAATCCAGACACGCCATTGGCCCTGCTGTCGGGAGGGAGCAGAGATACTGTATATGCTACCTTTAGGTAGCAGAGTTGAGCATACCTTTTCCTTCTGCCGCTCGCGCCGCTGTACAGCGAGCGCTGTAACGTGGTGCAAAGGGATGTCAAATGTTCAGTTTCACGTGGCGAAGCCAACTTCACGTGCACGATAGTGTGGCACTCGCGTGTTCTCTACCCGCACCGACTTCTGTCTCATCGTGACCGTCATTAGGGCCTTTTAGCTTGTAAGTACTATATGATTTGCGTTACCATGTTACCATATAAAGTCTGCACATGCGCGGGTCTTTACAGAACGTAAACTTTTACGTAACGTAAACTACCCGCCGGATAGGCTTTATGTTGCGGCTCTATTCTGTAAACTACCGGCGTTTGTAGAAAGTTGCAATAGCCACATTGTGGAGACTCCAGACATCGTGTCAAAATAAGCCGAAAGGCGAGTGCCAATAATGATTACATTGTTCCAGCCGGATTACCAAAGCTAGAATGGCCGTAAGATCGAAGCCTTGAACGTGTAAGCCCTCGACAGACTGGATAGGTGTCATCATCTAGCAGGGTCAAAATGAACCACGTAATCACAAAATTTTTATTGCTGAAATATTCTGCATCGTACGTATAGTGTGAAAACGGTGCTGTGATGGTATTACGAATTAGTTACTTTTTAAAATTGTTTTTGCCTCATTTTATAATTGTTGAGTTTAACGTCCCTTTTGTACTTATTGCTAAAAAACAGCCTTGTTTGAATATTTGACTGATATTTTTCCGTTTGTTGTAGTGTTCCTCATTTATTTATCATCATTTGTATGTATGTTGTTGAATATATACATGTGCTATTTTGCTTTACCTGTCCGAGGTGCCTCCCGATGAGTGGGCTAAGTCAGTGGGCACTCTCTTCGTTTGCCCCCTTTATGGGCATTTGTAAAAATGCCCAAATAAATAAATAAAAATAAAAAACACCTTATTAATTTATGAGAGACGCCGCAGTGAAGGGCTAAAAGAATTTCAGCCACCTGATGTTCTTAAACATGCAGCTGAATCTAAGCACACAGGCCTCAAGCATTTTCGCTAACTATAGCAATTTACCAACTCACTGCAACAGTGCAGTGTTGCTCAGCACGCTCGAGTAAGTCTGCAGCACGCTGCCCGCACTGGAACGTTGCACCCTATATTTCTTGTTCGCGCGTGACGAGTGGCTTCACTGGACAGCCATTGAACATAATGGTGGACCTATGCGCAACTCTGCTCTTGTAGGAAGCATATACAGTAACTCTAGAAGTGAGCAGATTGTCGCGCCACCTGTTAATCTGCACGCCCACTATTAAAGCCATTATTTGTGTTTTGTGTTGCCACTCCCAGGTGGCGCGACAGTCATATAACTTCCGAAAAATCGGGCCAACTGCGTGTCCTGGTTTCGAAACGCAGTTTCGCAACTGGTATGATTGAGTAACTCTGCATTGAATAACACCAAAGGGTAGAAATTTCCAGAGCCCTCCACTATGGTATCCCTAATGGTCACATCATGTTTCTGGGATGTGATACCCCAGATATAGATTGTTATTTGTATATATGGAATGGACACTGTCAGATTTACAAGCATCCCGAGGTGAGGTTATCGGGGACTTGGCATGTAAAGGTACTACAGGGGACATTATCATGATTGTTGTGAAGTTTTACGAGTTTTATGACTGCATAGATTTACAATTATCTTCCCTTTTAGGACCTCTACCGATGTGGATCTCAGCAATCATGAAAGGTGAAAATGTATGCATAAATGAATGAGACACTGTGTGTTTTGTGCATGTGCAGGCCAAGGCAAGTGGCAAGAAACTGCCCAAGGTGGCCATTACAGTGTCGCCCAAAGGTATCTCCACTCGTGACCTAGCCACAGGGGAGCTGCAACTGGATGTCTCCATCTACAGGTTGGTGCTGTGCACTTACCCTTAGTGTTTGACAACTATGAGCACCTGTTTTGCATTGGGACGGCTGAGAGGGCAGCCTTCTTGGCATGGTCTCCAGGAACATATGCAGACACGGTTGGCGGGGAAGAGCGCTCTCCTGTTTTATCCTACTCTATTTTATGGAGTGTTCAGCCAATAAAAGTCCCAGCAGGTGATGCCGTACTGTAATGCACAGTATTTGAGTTCACTAATAATGACTATTGGTATGTGTGAGAACAAGGTTGCATGATTTTTACAACTTCCAAAACTTTGTTGGTATTCACTTACCTTCTGCATGAACGAGTTTTCCAAGCTGATGTTTTTACAGCTTGCTACGCACAGAGCATGTGTTTGGAGCACTATTATTAATGAGAAGTCACGTGAGCAGCTACTTCCCAGAACTGTTGTCACTGTTTACAAATTACACTCTATGTGCAGTGAGTGTTTCGGTGGTGTGTTATTAGTGAGGACATTGCCTGCATATCTTGTAATGCTAGATACTCCTTCAACAAACGTCCTTTGCCTTTTATTTCTTTCTTTATTCATTTGCGCAACAATACAAGATTGTCATGCTGTGTGCGGCAAAAGGGTGTGATTTTGATGTGATAGCCCTGGGGAAGACCCAGAATAGGGGCCAGTGGGCCAGTTGGTTGTGCATAGTTTAAACATTTAGCCCGCTACAAGGAAGTAAAATCGAATGAGAACTCGCAAGAAAAAGAAATCAGCGAAGACTTCGCAGTGCACTGTGCCAACGCTGTTACCTGTGTTAGCGCTCTTTCGCTATCCCTAACAGTAGCGGAAGTGTCATTCCTTCATGGCAAGGAAGCTACGGTAACAGCTGTCAAGATACATGGGCGCCGAATTGAGGATAGTATCTCTCTTGATGTAATTATTGCGCATGTGTGAGTGTTTTTTGTTCTGTTTGTTTCCCTGCTTCGTCCTAACACATGAGTTTCTTGGAATAGTGGTGTGCAGCCGCACGAAGCACAATGTAATGGCTGGTGTGAACCCATGCCAATCTTAATTTATATTAACTCGTGTGTTAGGAAAAGCAGGGAAATGTTACCCCGTGAAGTACTTGAGGCATATCACATACAAAGGAAGGGGAACGAATGTGTCAGTGTCCCGTCGATCACTTTGTACAAGAAGGAATACCTGTTTTTAGATAGCACTGTGTGATAGCTCTCTTCTGTTTGTGTTTTTGGGTGTTTAATGTCATAGTCGCTTGTGCTGCATGCCCCCCTCTTTGTGCTCATTCTGGAAGCATATATATTTGGGCGATGTGAGAAAAATAAACGAGCTAAAAGCCTGGTGCCCAATCCTGTCTCCTTCTTTTTTTCTTGCCTGTATCACTTGCGCCACAAATACTTCATTAAACTGATAAAAGCGTACAGGTAAAGGTGTGGTGCTGAGTTGTGTATGTAAGTGCTTTGTAGCCAACGTTTTTGCATAGGTGTGAGAATACATTTTGTCTGTAATAGTTTAAATAAGTGAATTTGGGTGCACTACTCTGAAAACAGGTCTTCGTAATGGGTATGCTCAAAACAACAGCATCTTTTTTTTTTATGAGGTTGGCTGTGCAGCTGAAAGGTGAGTTTATGCAGAAGCTGTGAGCAGTTCTAGCAAACATAGTCATTCTAATTGAATGATTGAAACAAGTCATGTGCAGCCAGTGTTAAGCAGCAAATGCTGGCTAATGTTTTTCGAGAATCGCACGTTGCCAGGCACAGATTATTTGCCGTGTTGCACCGATTGTTCGTTGAGTGTTATGAACGTAGTGTTTCTTTTGCTTTGGATACCATAGTCCTCCTAAATTCAAACTTTTTAGGCATTGTCTTAGTGTTAGTGGCTGCAGGTACAGCATACTCATGGCAACAAAACAAAATTAATTGGGCGGTTGCGAAAAGCTTTTGTGTGTACCAGATGAACTCTGATAAGCATAGATCGCGTGCTACATTATGTCCTTTGGCAAGAAGTGCTCTGTGCATTATTCTTGGCCTAATTGTCTCTTGGACTCCTTTGGTTGTGCCCTCTGTACAAGGCACTGCTGTGAAGTGGTTCTTGTTTACACTCAATGTGCCGGCTGGAAAAATGCCAATTAATAGGAAAAACAGACAGAAAAAAATAATTCCACGAATATTAGAAGCAATATTTCATTGTAGTGACGTTTAGCAACCACGACTCGATAGTGCAGCTTCGTGCATTGGGGATAGCGGGAGGAAATGCAGGCTCAATTATTGTGAATGCCACAAAGCCAGAATGACCCAGCAACGCTGTGCAATCTTTTCTGCAATGCTCTTTTTGTGAAGTCTGCAAAGTGCGTGCTTCCTATCCAATGAGTTCTGGGGCTCCTTGCAGGATCTCATTCTGCTCAGCCGATGCCAGCTTTGACCGAGTGGTGGCCTTCATTGGGACGCACAGCAATGAGGTGATGGAGTGCCATGCATTCCTCTGTGCTAAGCGAAGAGTTGCCCAAGCGGCCGCTCTCACCATTTCGCAAGCCTTTCAGGTGGGTGCCCGATCGCAGTCGGAGTGACATCTTTGTACATGTGCGCTCATCTTAAAGCCTCTTAAGGGAGTGAATGAAACGTGCCAATAAGAATGGCAATTTTAGTCAAAATGTACAATTTATTTTTGACTTTTTTTGCAACCATGAGACCATTTTTTACGTAATGGCAAAATATTAGGCGGAAATAAGTAGTAGAAGTTGTGAGAAATGCTTTTTTACTAGTGGGCTCTCATCAAAAGCTACGAAGAAATGGGGGGGGGGAAAGGGGGGAAAGGGAAAGGGAAAGAAAATACCTATCGGCAGCGTTCCCTTGGCACAATGGCACCATATTGGTATCATCATGAGGGGGACAGGTCGAAGCTCAAGACAGCCACAAAACTGCATTTCTCCAGTGAAAAATAAAGACAGCATCCTTCCGAGTTCCATTTGCTTAGCTTCTAGCTCCTATTTTTTATTTTAGACTCAGTTTTCTCAGCTTTCATTTTTGAGCAGTTGCTGTCAGTCATTCCTGTGCCATTTTGCAACGAATGAAGATGTAGCCACTTCGTTTTCTGCACTTAGATGCTGAGACCTTGGTGAGTGCCGTAAAGCTGTTTATATTCGTGGGCACATCATACAGATATTTATAATCTGAGATTTTGCTAATCTGCAAGTGCACTTCTTTGCGATGCATATTCACCCTACTAATGGCAGTAGCAGTAGTGCTTCAAGTGGAAATGAGGTCTTAGTTGCACGTGATGTGGCTTGTCTATTATCCGTGTCTATATCGAGACAGCCGAGACGACATTTTCCACGCCGTTGCGCAAGAAAATTGTGCTCGAATACATTGCTTTTTGTAAGAGGCTAGGTGCCATTAGAAGTACAAACTGCACAGCAGAGAATCGCACTTGTGGACTAGAAAAATATCCTATTGGCTTTTTGTGAAGGTTGTTCGTTAAACAATATGCCCAGAACATTTCAAAAATTTTTTTGTGTGCTCACTTGAATATTAAAAAAATAAGCCAATAGCATTACAGCACAGAATGGCCCTTATAAATATCTTTATAAGGGCCATTTATAAAAAAATTTTGACAGACTTATGGCTAATTAATTTTGGGCTGACAATGAGTCTTTCAAGTGTTGCCAATCAAGAACTGCATTAAACTGATTTCAGTTATGATATCCGCACAACAGATGGCATCTTCATGCCAAATTTCATCACTTTATAAGTAAAGAAACTCGTGCTCATTGCCACATCCCCCTAGGGTCCCTGCAGCATTTTTGAGCATCATAAAACAACTCTGCTGATCGGTAGTACAGTCTCCTGAGAAAACCTGAGCCAGATATTATAGCACAGAACGCAGCCTGGCATTCATGATAAATTCTCAAAGTCTACTAAAAATTGCTTTTTGACAAATGACGATACTAGCTCAGAAATCGCTCGTCGCAGCTGTTGTATCCGCCATTGGTTGATATGAGTATGTTGCATTCGTTTGTTACTTGGGCCACAACGAGAAACTGCGACTTGTCCACGTGCACACGCAATCACACTGAAAAGTTTCATATTCGAAGAAAGAAAAAGAAAAAGAGAGAGAAAAGAAAAAGTTTTCAAGGTCATGCAGCGCTCGGGATGTGCTTTCTTTCCTTGAGCCATTCCTCCCCGCTTTGCTTCGAGCGCTTTCGTCAGAACGAAATCAGAAAGAATGCAATGGTAGCATGCGACAAATCGTAGCAACTCCGCTCGTACTGGACGGATTCTAAAAATCTTTGTGGCGGTGAATTTATTAGGTAATAAGCTCCTTTAGTGAATTCTTCCAAGGCTACTTCAAAAAGTGCTGCAGTGCCCCAAGTCGGAGACTCAGTTCAAACAGAGGAGTTGTCACACCTTTCGGAACTCTATAGCCTATGGGAGCCATTGCAAACGTTTTGATACACCTGGTGCAGTTCCTTTTGCATAGCTGTATGTTTTCAAGTGTAGTTTTCGTGCAGCATAGCACTACTTATTTCTGTACCATAAAACCTTATTTAACTAACATTTTAAATGTTTCACTATATTCCAGCTTATGGCTCTCTGTCATGTATGACACATTTCCTTGTATGCTATGCAGACTACTGATATCTGGCTATTGACGGCAGCGCATCACTCAAGTCGGCCTCTTGTTGCATGGCACACCTTGAACACATGGTTGCTTTGGAGTGTCCACACCAGCTGTGTTGCCAGCTGTATTCTTTCTGGCATTTGTTATTGACCAGCCACCTCTGCACCGGGCTTGTGTGGAAACACTGATTGCCAGATTCACTAAGGAAAAAAAAAAAGCCATTGTCTTGGGTAGTCAAAGCAGATGCTTACTGCGAAAAGGTTGAATGGGGAGCTGGAATTACGAGTGCTACTTTGGTTCGACTGTTGTCTGCTTTCAGGGCCATTATGGTCAGCACCATGTACTTGATGGAGACACATCAAACTGCGATAATTTATTAGTTCTATGACCCGAACAATCTTGACGCACGTATTTACTGTCCAATTCAACTTCGGAAGTCTGCGGCATCTCTTCCTTAATGGCGAATGCATGCAAGCCTGGAAATGCACTCTGAACTGACAGAACCAGACACCCAGTAACCTCATCTTTTGGGAAAGCATTGCGGACTGCACGAGCAGGACCACTTCTTTAGTCACGGAGGTGATGTCTGCTGCTGTGCTTTGGCCTTGTTTGCACGGCCTTTCTGGTTTTTTCAAATTCTGTCCGACTACAGTGCCACTATGGGCAGATGCGTCGTATTTACCATAAAAAAAATTATAATTTATTGTGCACAAAAGTGCATTCGCTGTGCAAACCTTGAGAGGCACATGCTGCGATTGCTCAATTGCAGTTGCACTCAGCCCCTGAGCTTAATGTTGTTGGTTCAATTCCCGGCTCCCTCATCTTCATAACAATGCAAGGCAGAATGCCAAAGAGTGCACGGTGTGCTCAGGTTTGAAAGATAAATTCTCAATTGCTCAAAATTAATCCTAAGTCCCCAGCAACTGTGTCCATGATAGTTTACCACGCTAACTAGCTTTGGAGTTGTTAATCTCACATAATTCCACGTATATCTGTGTCCACTGTATTAAGTACGTATTGCATTCACTGTAATATGTATAGAAGTTCGCCTGTAGTACTTTAAATAGGAGGGTCAATGAATGTCTTCACATTTTATCTTTGTGTATGTCCTCTTGCTGTGAGGCATTTGGCCTGATTACTTTTTTTTTTGCCCATAATTCAGGTGGCCTACCAAGCCTGGCAAGGTTCACGACAAGCTGCAGCAGCCTCACAGGTACGTTATGATATTGCACAGATGAAAATTTGAATTCTTCATAAGACTGCAAGATGCTTCCTGCGATGTGACAAAATAGTGTGACCTGATATCTAGAAGTGTGATTCATCAGGCTACAGTCGATCCCAGATATATCAAACTCAGATATATAGAATTATTGGCTATATCGAACGGTTGAGAAATCCCTTTGAATTTCCCATGCAAAAGTATGGGACCGGTGCACCCATATGTCGAACTCCCGCACAGCTGCACTTCGCTGTATGGAATGCTGCGCCGAGCCTAAGCCCAGAAAGTGCATTTTTCCTTGCAAATATTGATCAATTTTCGGTCATGTTCTAACGAGTTTCAATCCGTTTACGTGCGCATGTGACGAAAAGGCGGTGTTATTCCATTGCGCTGATTTGATTCGTTGTGTGGCTCTTACAAGTGCCCCGATATGCTTGCTGTGCAATCTGCAGGTCTTAACGCACGGCCATAGTGTTTTTCAAAAAGAATGTTGCCAAGGACACCAAAATGAGAATGCGAAGTGACTCAGGGATCTAGTTGCAATGTTCGCATTTCCTTCCTTGTCTGTTTGCGCACAATGGCATGCGATGGGCATACGAGGTTGAAAAACATAGCCTTCGAGATGTGCATGCAACCTTTTGACGTAATTTTAGTGTTTTCGGGCGGGCGGCCGGCGGCTGATGCCACCTAACCGTAGTACTTAGTGAACCAAAAACTAGTTTTCTCTCTTTTTTTTACTCTAAGTAGTGAAGTTGAGCACTGGCACTTTGCAGTGAAAAGTTCAAAACTCTGCGCCGTCAAAAACTCTGCGCCATCATCCTGAACCATAGGGTGAAGCCCTTTACAGAACATTAACAAGTGTTCGGCAGTTCCTTCCTCCTCTCCACATGCACTGCATACCGTGCCTACCCCTTCGTAGTTGGTCCGATGAGTGTTGGTTCGCAATACTCCAATCCTGGCCTCAAACAGCAGAGAACTACCTCAAGTATCATCATAGATTCCTTTCCTTGGCAATTTACTGCTTAAAAGTTCGATAGATCTCTAGTGCTGGCTTCTTAATCATACCAATTCTCTACATATGGGTCTCCGTTTCCTTCACCTTCTTCCTGACGGATAGTTCTTTTTGGTTTGGCCCCCTGCTCTTCTCCAAGTATTTACCCGTCAATTTCCTGGTTCGCTTCCTCCATTTTGTATCGACATTCTTCATGTACAAGTAGCTGAAAACCTTCCTAGCCCAACGCTCCTCTCCCATTTCTCTCAGTCGCTTCTCAAATTTTATCTTGCTGCTAGCTTCCCTGCCCTCGAATTATGTACATCCCATATCGCCTTCTACTCCCCGATTTGGTGTATTCCTGTGAGCTCCTAAAGCAAGCCTACCTATTCCATGTTGCTCAATTACTAATCTTGCTTGAACCTCTGATCTCATGCACAAGACCCCATTCCAAATTCCTCTCACAACATCATACCTACTGTAATTCCACAGTGCCTTATTTTACATCACCGTTGCATTCCTGTTTCCTTTAGTCGTTACGTATATTTCGTGTTCCCTTAGGTACTTGGTCCCATTGCTTATCCATAGCCTAGATATTTGTATTTATTCGTTATTTCTAGTATGACCTCCTGTATTCTATGCTCACTATCTTCATTATCGTTAAAAATCATGACTGCTGATTTTTCCTTACTGAATCTCAAATCTAACCTATCTGCCTCATTACCACACATGTCCATCAATCTCTGCAAATCTTCCTTGCTGTCGGCCATTATCACTATATCATTTGCATACATTAATGCTGGTAGTGCCTGTTCAATGAATTTTCCTTGTTTTACGAAAGAGAGGTTGAAGCCGATTCCACTTCCCTCTAATTTGGCCTCTAATCCTTGTAGGTGCATCATGAATAACAAAGATGACAGAGCCTTTTATGGCAAAGCGTGTGGGGTCTCGATGAGGCGAGCTAGCGCCACGGTACGCTCTTGGAGTGAACGGACACAGTTGACACGGTCGGTACTAACCAAACAACATACATTTATTTAACTAATTTATAACGACGATATTGTCCGCCGAATTGGTACATAAATCGTTATCAACATGCTAAATCATCATTACACAAAATTACCAAACACTCAAACAACATAGCACAAGAGAACACAAAAGGCGGCGTCGCCAATGCTTCACTCACCACGTGGGCCTACCGCAGGCGGCCCACGGTGCCGTCCACGGCAGACCCACCGCGAGAGACAACCGTTCGCGGCAACCACCACGCACAGAAGAGGCTCGCTCAACTCTTGCCCGCCACCAAGGCTTGCCTTCCACCAGGGGTCACTACTGGCGCTACCACTGTCACAACCATGATGATGATGACAGTGGTAATCAATGCCACCTACCACTCGGTAGTTGTAACACGAAATGCGGCTTTTTGGGCGAGGCCTTTGCACCACACAGCGCAAACATATTTACAGGGGGTCAGCACCCCCACATCCCCCCCAATCTTAAATCAAACCATATCCAGAAAACAAACAGATCAGTTACACAAGCTCCAACAAAAAAATAACATCACATGTCCATAATGTCCTTGCACCACGACACCGCCGCCGGTCGACACTGCTGCACTGTCTGGCTCGACTTCGCCTCAGAACCGGCCCCGCAACATCAACGTTGCCGTCGGCGCGACGAACCGTCGCTAGCGCCGACACGTCTTCCAGTTGCAACCAGCACTCACGAGGGCGCCGGACCGCAGGCAGTTACGCAGGTCCCGGGCATCTCCATCGCCCGACCTCACGACCGCATCCTTGGCCAGCGACGCTGACGATGTGCAGAAGACAGCCGCCCGTGGATGACATCTCTCCCGCTGAATACATCAACAACAACAACAAAAAAAACTCGAAAGAAACAATGGAGCAGGGCCCAGGGAAGGGAGCTTGAGGCTTTTCGGCCACGTGGTACGATGGTCAGTACTGCTAGCTAATACATCAGTGGCGGCCAAGACGCCCATCGAAATAAAACAAAAATCACTTTTCCTAACTCGTGCATCGCAAGATAAAAAAAAAAGTGAGGGAAGCAGAGTGCATCACCTCAACGCCACGATCCACCTAGTTGTTCCACGTGCGACAGGCAGCTGCGCAGAGCCTTAGGCCTAATGAGTCGCTCGGCAACAACCGGCATCCACCCAGCACCCAGCCTAGGTGCAGAAGAGGCAGCCGCGAGGAGACATCCACTCTGTAAGGTGGCCATATCTCTCACCGCACACAGCAGCTTACCGAGCAATCGGCGTCCACCGCCCCGGGCGGTATCACGACGCCTCGGCGTCGAGCCGCAATACAAGTCAGCAACGACGCCCGGCTCCCTGTGCCCAAAGAGATAGAAGAAGCTATTCACAGAAAATCGGACCACCCACGAGGCTTCTGTACTCACTTGCTTCGGGCCTGGCCTACAAACCACGTGCTCCAGGCCTTGCTCACCCCAGTATGCGGACCGCATGGCTCTCGTCCCAATTCAACAACGGTTTTGAAAACTAACAACGAAAAACACTTGTCAGCAGAAAAAAAATAAAAACTCGAGTGGCAACATGTTCGAACACATTCCAAAACCAATCTCCTCGCTTCTCAAGAAAGCACACAGCCGACGCTAGCAAAGAAGTCCCCCTAGGCCTACTCTACGCCCGCTCTAACAAAAGCTTCTACCCAACCGCGAAAACTGTCGTCCGATACTTGAAGAGCCCCGCATTGGGCGCCAGTGGGGGGTCTCGACGAAGCGAGCTAGCGCCACGCTACACTCTTGGAGTGAACGGACACAGTTGACACGGTCGGTACAAACCAAACAACGTACATTTATTTAACTAATTTATAACGACAATGTCGTCCGCCGAATCGGTACATTAATCGTTATTAACACGCTAAGTCATCATTACACAAAATTACCAAACACTCAAACAACATAACACAAGAGCACACAAAAGGCGGCGTCGCCAATGCTTCACTCACCACGTGGGCCTACCGCAGGCAGCCCACGGTGCTGTCCACGGCAGACCCACCGCGAGAGACAACCGTTCGCGGCAACCACCACGCGCACAAGAGGCTCGCTCAACTCTTGCCCGCCACCAAGGCTTGCCTTCCACCAGGAGTCACTACTGGCGCTACCACTGTCACAACCATGACGATGATGACAGTGGTAATCAATGCCACCTATCACCCGGTAGTTGTAACACGAAATGCGGCTTTTGGGCGAGGCCTTTGCGCCACACAGCGCAATACAGGGGGTGTCAGCAACCCCACAAGCGCCATCTGTTGAATGCAGGAGAAAACTTTTTTGCCGATAGTGCCACGCAAGCACAGCGGCACAAAAACAAAGTGCATGGCCTTCAAACTGGCGCGTGCGCGGCGTAGAGACACCTGGCAATTTCGAAGGTCATGCAAAATGCAACTGCATCCATCGTGCCAACGGCGTGTTGTATGCCGCCATCTCATGCTGCGTTATGTTGCAATAGCAATTATATGGATACTTTCGGCTGGGTTCTGCCACCGATGTCGGCGTCACTCACCGTATATGTATCGATATATATGAAAACTTAAAGAAAAAATTGGCCCCGTATCTGCATGGTAATTCAGCAAATGTTGTCGAAAGACTATAGTTTTGCGTATAGAGAGAGTGAACAAAACATTTATTTGATGTTCTGCGCAAGAAAATTGATGAATGGTATTCTGGAGGCGCTGCGTTAGAGTGCCTCGAGTGTGCAGCGGAGGCGAACGAGTGCATGATGTCACGCCACACGTGAGACATGAGCGCCATTTGGCAGTTTTCTTAGAAAACGAAGCGCGTGGCTCTGAGACTGGTGTGCACGCCCGTCTCAGAGGTGGTAAAATGTAGAACGCAAGGCGACGTGTAGGTGCCACCACCATCTTGTTTTAGTGAAGCGTTGGAAACACTCGCCTTTTCGTGCAAGCGTTGCATGGTCAGCGCAGTGTGATAAGCGCGACGGTCCTTAAAGTTACTCATGTATGCCAGTTCTAGTCAAAGATGCACATGCAGAATATATACGTGTTATGGTGCCCCGGACATGCGCAATAATTGCTTTTTAATTGACAATTGCACAAGTATGAACGCTGAATCTTGAGCAACATTGGTGGGCGCTGCGAATGGGGTTGGCTGTTTCAAGTACCCAAAGCAGTTAAGAGTGCACAGACAAATGTACAGACAGAAGGATCAAAATTTTTGTGTCGAAGGTCCCCAAGAAAGACTATCGTCTTTAAAAAGCCGTCTTCGCAAGGCACGCAGCTCGGCCGGTCATGATGCGCCGACAGGCGCTTATCCCCCACGCGTACTTTGCCCTGCAAATGAAAGGGGGGTCTATAGATGCTTGTGCGTGCGTGCTTATCTTTCAGGAGGGAGAATCGCGGGCCTTCCACTTTGACCGGAACGATTGTGTTTAGTTACCGGGCGCACCAAGATCCCTTTGCTCGCTGGACAGGCGCCGTTTGCGAAAAGAGGGCGCTTTTCAAACCCAGCGAAGTAACAACTGGAGCGCTTTTTACTTGTTATTGCGCACTCATATCTACACCTGTGATTACGCTTGTGGGGTCTCGGCGAGGCGAACGAGCGCCTCGCCACGCCACGCTCTTGGAGTGAACGGACACAGCAGACGCGGTCAGTACAAAACACACAACATACATACATTTATTAACTAATTTAGACGACGATATCGTCCGCCAA